TCTGATATATGGAAAGGTTGTAATTTGCTGGTTATGATTATGCTGTCTGTATGTGTGTATCATTTTTGTACTTGAAGTTATGAATATTGGCTATGTACTTGTAGCTCAGTGTGTTTGATTCTAAGTAGCCTCAGTGAAGCATTTGTTCAGCTTCTTGAGAAAGGACTATTCTCAATAAATGCCCAATCAAGAAACACTTAACTGACAATGGACTTTGGGAGATGCCAATCCACATCTGAACTTTCCTGGGAACATTCAAACTAACATGTAAACGATGGTGTCGAACTGCAAAAAGCTGAATCATTCATGGACGTGTGAGTTGCCCAGCTGGCTACAAACTCCATCTTGTTGCTGTGATTTTGCACAGAACAAAGGGGTTTCCACCCACAAGGAGAAAATATAAAAGGCCCTGGAAGCCTCTCCATTTTGTCTTCAGCTGGCTTAAGGGATGGCCTCTCCACCCCCCAAGAGATGCCTGAAAGAAACTGGAACAAAGGACAGTAACTATGAGGGTGTGAGTGATTGCTGGGCCCAGAGTAGGAAGGAGTCCAGTCTGTGAAAGAAGCTTATTGGAACAGCTCTAAGGGCGAGATTTACCTGTATGCAGTTTCTTAATGTATTAGGCTTAGACTTGCTTGTTTTGTTTCATTTTGCTTGGTAACTTACTTTGTTCTCTCTGTTATTACTTGGAACCACTTAAATCCTACTTTTTATACTTAATACAATCACTTTTGCTTATTATTGAACCCAGAGTTAGTGACTAATACCTGGGGGAGCAAACAGCTGTGCATATCTCTCTATCAGTGTTATAGAGGACAGACAATTTATGAGTTTACCCTGTATACGCTTTATACAGAGTAAAATGGATTCATTTGGGGTTTAGGCTCCCAGAAAGACTGAATACTGGATCCTGGGAAAGTCTCTGTTAACTAAGAAACCCCTGAACTGCAGGGGTGTGTGGCCCAACCTCTTGTCTGTGCTGTAATTGACTGGAGTGTCTTACTCAGCAACACAAGAGTGGAAGGAAGCCTTCTCTGGCAGGGTTGTTTGTTCTCAGTGGTACCCCAGCACATCTAGTGACAGTCTTAAGGGGGTTTCTGTGACCGAAGCTGTCACACTGGGTCAGAGCAATGGTTCATCTAGCCCAGTGTCCTGTCTTCTGACAGTGGCCACTGCCAGGTGCTTCAGAGGGAATGAACAGAACAGGGCAATTATTGAGTGATCCATCCCCTGTTGTCCTCTCCCAGCTTCTGTCAGTCAGAGGCTAGGGACACGCAAAACTTGGGATTGCATCACTGACCATCTTGTCTGATAGCCATTGATGGACCTATCCTTCAGGAATTTATATAGTTCTGTTTTGAACCCTATTATACGTTGGCCTTCACAACATCCCCTGGCAATGAGTTCCACGGGTTGACTGTGAGTTTGAAGAAATACATCCTTGTGGGGTTTTTTTACCTGCTGCCTATTAATTTCATTGGGTGACTCCTGATTTTTATGTTACGTGAAGTGGTCAATAGCACTTCCATAGCCACCTTTTCCTCACCATTCCTGATTTTATAGACCTCTATCATATCCTCCCTTGGTCATCTCTTTTCTGAGATGAACAATCCCAGTCTTTTTAATCTCTCCTATGAAGCTGTTCCATACCCCTAAATCATTTTTGTTGCCCTTTGAATTTTTTCCAATTCTAATATATCTTTTTGACATGGGTGACCAGAATTGCATGCAGTATTCAAGGTGTGGGCTTAACATGGATTTTACTCCTGAGGGCATTCTGCATGAAAAAATTATTATGCGCACAATATTTTAAAATTCTGCAAATGTTATTTGTCAAATAAATGTGGAGGCTCCAGCATGGCATTGGGGAGCACAGGCCACTGGCTGCACAGAGGTGGGAGATCACTGTGCAGGTCCCCCTCAGGACACGGACTCAGTGATGAGGCTGCACCCAATGCACACAGTGCAAAGACCGGGCCTGACCCAGAAACTTCCCAGGGCCCTGCCCCTCGGTGCCAGGTGCACCTGGTGTGGGCAGGCAAGATCAGCAAAGCAGGATCCAAGTGTGGAGGGGCTTAGTGTGGGAGGATCCAGGTGTACGTTGAGAGGGCTGTGTGTTGGACAATCTGGGTCCAGGTGGCTCAGTGGGGGATCCGGGTGGGGGGGGGGATCTGGATGCACAGGGACTTGTTGGGGGGTTCTGGGGGCAACAGTAATGGGACTCTGCAGGGGGGTCTAGGTGAAGGTGGTTAAGGCTCAGCAGGGGAGGTCTGGGTGTGCGGGGCTCAGTGGGGGATTCCAGATGCTGTGGGAGTGGGGCTCAGTGGGGTGGGGATACATGTTCAGTAGGTTGGGGTTTGGTAGGGTGAGGATTCGGGTGCAGGTGGCTTGTCAGGGTGGTCCAGGTGCAGTGGGAGTGGGCTCGTCAGAGGGGGTTCTGGGTATGAGGGGGTCTGGATGCACGGGGATTGAGTGGATGGGGGAGCAGCTCCCAGTACAGTGATACCTCCCCCTGCAGCTCAGGAGTGATGGGCGCAGGAAGCGTGCGGCAGTGGGAGGGGGAGTTTGCAGAGCTTCCTACAGCCAGGGGAGAAATCTGGGGGTGGGTCTGACACGGCCCCGAATGTCGTGCAGGGGAAGAGGTAGTTCCATCCTCCCCAGCCCAGCCGGGACTAGCAACTGAGCCTGGCACAGGATAGGAGCCACCAGTCGGGTCTTCTTCAGTCCAGCCCACTGCCCCACAGTGATATACCTCTCTGCTGGCTGCCCTTGGCACCCGAAACGTATTGCTTGGGAGGGTCGTATGACCGCTCTTATGACTTCCCTTTGCTTCCCTGTCAGAAAGTCATTTTTCTACAGGGAAGCAAAGAAATATGTGGGGGGCATAAATTTTGTGCAGTGGTGCAGAATTCCCCCAGGAGTAGCAGCATTTATATAGTGGCATTATGATATTTACTGTCTTATCTTCTATTCCTTTCCTAATGATTCCTAAAATTCTGTTAGCTTTTTGATTACTGCTGCACAATGAGCAGAAAGTTTCAGAGAACTATTCACAATGACTCCAAGATCTCTTTCCTGATGGATAACAGCTAATTTAGATCCCATCATTTTGATATGTATAGCTGAGATGATGTTTTCCAATGTGCATTACTTTGCATTTATCAACATTAAATTTCATTTGCCATTTTGTTACCCAGTTTTGTGACGTCCCTTTGTAACTCTTCTCAGTCTGCTTTGGACTTAACTATCTTGAGTAGTTTTGTATTGTCTTCAAATTTTGCCACCTCACTGTTTGCCCCTTTTTCCAGATCATTTATATTGAACAGCACTGGTCACAGTGCAGATCCCTGGGAGACACCACTATTTACCTCTCTCCATCCTGAAAACTGACCATTTATTCCTACCCTTTGTTTCCTGTCTTTTAACCAGTTACTGATCCATGAGAGGACCTTCCCTCTTATCGCATGACAGCTTACTTTGCTTAAGAGCCTTTGGGGAGGGACCTTGTCAAAGGCTTCCTGAAAGTCCAAGTACACTATATCCACTGGATCCTCTTTGTCCACATGCTCGCTCATGCCCTCAAAGAATTCCAATAGATTGGTGAGGCACGATTTATCTTTACAAAAGATGTGTTGACCCTTCTCCAACACACTGCAGAGGGTAGCAGAGCAAAACCTGTGGCTGCCCTGACCCCATGGAAACATTGCCACCTTGTGGGAGTTGGGTGGTGACCCTGGACAGGTCAATGGAACAGAGACCAATGGTTCAAGTGTGGGGAAGGTGGGGGTGTTCCAAAAGCAGTGGGTTCCATGTGAGGCTGGGAGATTCCATGTGGGACAGGGTTGGTTCCAAGTGGGGCAGTGGGGTTCCGGGGGAGGTGGAGTTCTGTGTTAGCAGCGAGTTTCCGGGGGTGGTGGATTGCCTGTGGAGCAGAGAGTCCCCTCCTAGTGCAGGCCACAGGGGGCTCACAGGCATCCCTCTCAGTTTGCCATGGCTCAAAGCTGGGCACAATGTGGAATAATGACAAAGCTGGCCCCTGCGGGACCTGGAGAACTGTGGGATCGGCCTCTTGGGATGACTGGCTCTGGCTGAAGCCTCAGCCTCATGGCTCTCTTCTGATGCCCCAATGTTCCATGGGAAAATGAGTGGCACAAATTTGCCAACGCAGAGGGCAGCAGAACCAGAAAGGGCATGAGCGGGGTGGGGGGCACTGACAGATAAGCCATCCCCCACCAACACTGTGGGGCAGGGGGCTCTGGGTTCTCCAGTTACCTGGATGGTTCCCATGCCAGCTGTTCTCAGGGGTCTGCCAGAGCTCGGTTCCCTGCGACCCGTCGCAGCCCCCTGTGTCAGCTGCCATCCCGGTTTCAGTGGCAGAGAAGAACTGCAAGATTGTCTTCAGCAGGCCGGGCCCTGCCACAGCAGCACAGAGCGTCTAGGGAGAGAGACACAATCAGTGGACCAGGGCTCTCAAGCCACTGCATGCCCCCTGCTCCATGGGCACCTGGCTGCCAGCTCAGGGGAAGGAAGGGGAGCAATGCATGCATGTGTGCCGACACAGAAGGTCGGGCCTATCCTGCCCATCCCCACGGCCTCTGAGCCCCTGCCACAAGTGCAGAAGGGGGTGTTAGTCAGTGAGGGAGTTCACTGCGCTCTCCAGAGCCTGTGCCAAGCCCAGCCTGCCGGTTACCTGCAGCACGTCATCCTGGGAGGTGTAGCGGGGGTGCGGGCGGCGGTACCGCCCATCACGGTATTTGTGAGTGATGAAGACCTGTCTCTGCTCTGCGCTGGAGTCTGGGTAGAGGGCCTCAGCGGGCGGGAGGCGCGCGGCCCAGAACCGGTTTGCTCGCTCGTTCCCCAGCACGATGAACAGCTGAATGAGAGCGCAGAGTCACTGAGGGAGGGGGCGAGATAGCATGGGGGGATCCTGTGGATTGTCGAAGTGGGACATCGCAAGCCCCTGGAGGGGGCTGGGTGTCAAAGATGGACTGGGGATGCTCTGGGGGAATTCTGTGGGTACTCTCCCCTGTGCCAGGGCATCCCCAGGAAGATGAACCCCCACTTCCCGCTCCGCCAGACCCAGACTGTGACACACATTTCTGTAATGTCAGCTCTGCCTTGTGGGCGCTGGCCATGGCAGCGCACGGGTGGGGGCGAGCTGGGCAGTCTCTGTACCTGGACAATCTCATTGCTCCAGACGCTGGTGTCGAGCTTCAGGCTCTGCACCTTGGACACGCTGGAGCCCAGGCTCCGGTGCTGACCTGTCAGGAGCAGCAGAGAGACTGTGAGCAGCCCGGCTGTATAGCAACTGCACAATCGCTACGCCACCAACCCGGCCGGCCAATCCACCCACCTGCCCAGCCAGCTGGCCCACCTTCTGACCCAGCCACACAGCCCACACTGACCCACTTGCCCCATATTACTGACTCGCCCACCATCCCACTGACCCACCTGGCCCATGTACTGACCCACCCACCCGCAATGCCACCGACCCGCCTGGCCCATATACTGACCCATCCTCCCACCATCCCACTGAGCCGCCTGGCCCATATACTGACCCACCTGCCCACCATCCCAGTGACCTGCCTGGCCTATATACTGACCTGCTGAGCCACCATTCCTCCGACTCACCTGGCCCATATGCTGACCCACCACCTGCCATCCCACATGCCTGCCTGGCTCATATACTGATCCACCCTCCTGCCATCCCACCCCAATTGTCCAATATACCTGCCCATCCAACCACTGACCCATCCACCCGCCATCCCACCTGGCTGATATACCCACCCATCGACCTACCCAACTGATATACCCGCCCGCCCAAACACAAACTCACCCAGCTGATATATTCCCTCACCCACCTGCCAACCCAGCTGGCTGATATACCACCCGCCCCATATACCCACCCACCAACCCACCCACCCGATATACCCCACCACCAACCCGCGCAGTTGATATACCAACCTGCCTACACATTGACACACCCAAGCAGATATACTGCCCCGCCCAACCAGTATACTCACTCACCAACCTGCCCGGCCAATATACCCAGCCTCCCAAACTATCTACTCCCCCGCCCAGCCCCCACTCCCACAGATCCGTCAAGTGCTCTTACCCACCCCTCCCCCGCCAGCAGGGAAGGGAGGGAGGAAATGCACTGGCCTGCACACTGCTTGCAGATCACCACACACAGGTTGATGGATGCCCAGTCAGGGCTCAGGGCTCTGCAGTCAGCACAGAACTTGTTGGCTTTGTTGGACCAGATTTTCTCGGCCACCTCGTAGTCATACAGCATCTCTGCAATGGCGTCCTGCAGCGCCTCCATCCACTCCCGCTTTTCCCGCTCCGACTCGGCCACGAAGCTGGGCAAAGGCACAGCCAGGAAACTCAGAGTGTCCTGGGCTTGTCCTTGGGCACCCGAGTTACACAGAGTCCTGCTGCAGCACCCAGGTAAGCTGGGGCACCCAATACGCTGCCCAGCCTCAAGCCAAACCCCCGACTGGCGCCCCCCAGCGCAGTTACCTGAAGATCTTGAATGGGCTGATGAGCTCGAAGCAGCGGTTCTTGGCTTCCCGGATGGTGGCGCCGTGGAGCTCAATCAGGCAGATGGCGATGCCCATTTTAAAGAACTACGAATGGAGACAGATGCAGTGAGAGGCTGCAGCCTTAGACCTGCAGTGCCATGGCCCAAGCCCAGGGGGCACAGCACCCACAACCATGCAGGACAGCTGCACACACTCCAGGAACATCCACAGACAGAAATGCCCGCATGGGGCATTCTCCCCCTTGGCATGCCAGTGGGCCCGCTTTGCCAGCCTGCACTAAGACTCCACACAAGCACATACCCTGTGGGGTGGGGGATGTGGGCACACCCCCCCATACACGATACCCATGCCAGGAATAACCCAGCCCTGGTGAGGTGGGGACTCAGATTCTGCTCTTACAGCCCAGGCCTGTCTGCTACACTATCCTCTCTGCCCTATCCCCAGTCCCTGGCTCCTCACGCATGCTGCTGGGGGTGGGCCAGGCGAGGGAGAATGGCCACCCTGTGTTATGGAGCGGGAGCTACTGGCCCTGGAGCCAGGGGCCACCATCTCCCCATCCCAGCCCAGTGCCCTCTCCTCCGTCAGGTCCCGCAGGGGAAGGGGCTGGTCCCCAGTCAGAGCAGCCTGGCCCGCGCTGGCGTTAGGCACACGTAAAGCCATGGGGGCTGCAGGAAACGCCCCCAAACCGCACCTGAGCAGCATCCCCCGCTCCTTGGCCTGCCCACAGCTGTGGGCATACAGGCTCCGGGCCATTGTCTCTGCTCCCGGCCACAGAGGCCTCAGCAACATGTGGGTCCCCCCCTTGGGAGTCCCAAGCTGGAGCCGTTGAGTGCTGGGCCCAGGCTTGCCGGGGTGGCCTCAGATTCAGCCTGGCTTCATGCTGCTGGGGGACTCTGGGGCTCCCCACCTGCAGCACGGCCAGGCCATGCCTTGCTCACCTGCTCGTTCTTGTACAGCCACATGTTGGCCAGGCTGAGGGCTGCGAACAGCTTGGACTTGTGGCCCTTGAGCTCCAGGATGCCACACTTCTGGCAGTGAGTGCTGCTGGCCAGGCGGGGCCGGGGGCTGACCAACCGCTGCTCTGCCACCTTCCTCTGCAAGGTGGAGCACCACTCGTTCCTCTGAGCTGCAGGGCACAGCAGCGGTGGGGTGGAGATGGGAATGAGTGTCCACACGCAGTCCAGCACCACTGGCTCTGGGCGTAGCCAGGACACCACGGCTGGAGCCCACCCCCCAGGTTCGGGAAGCAGAGCAGGGATGAGCAACTGGCCCAGCAGCAGCAGAGGGGCGCTTGCTGCGGCAGATCTTGGGGAGCTCCCCGTGGTGGCAGGCTGGGCCGGGGGAGCACCAAGCGCTGTCACTGGGAAGTAGGGACTCCACGGGGAAGCAGTGACTGAGGGAGGCCATGGGTGGGGGTGCGGGGAGAGGAATGGTCCGTACAGGGGGCACAGAGATCGGGCTGGAGGAAGCAGCTGGGGCGGGGGAAAGAGTTGTGGATGCAGGCACCTAAGGGAGTTTGGGCTGAAGGACCCACAGTGGGGGAGGGTGCTCGGACTTGGGAGGGGAGGGCTGAGGATGGAGGAAACCCTCAAGGGGGTTTGGGCTCTGGCTGCATGAGGGGAAAGCTCTGGCCAGGAGCTGTGGTTTAGGGGTGGTCTCTGGCCAGGGGCTGTGGATGCGGGGTGGTTTCTGGAGGGGGGGGTCTCTGGCTGGGGGTCTCTCTCACCTTCGTTCTCGGCTCTGAAGAGAAAGATCCTGTGGCTCGTGACGACCTGGAACTTGTTCTCCTTGGTGGCGCGTGCCATCTCGATGACAGAGAGCGGGATCACACCCTTGGGATATGGCTCCTGGAATGACCCCATGAGGGTTACACCCCAGCTCTGACAGGACCCCATTGCCCCTGCTGGCAGTGAGCCCCCTTCAGGCAGAGCCCAGGGAGTTTGCTTTGGGCTAACTTAGTGTTTATGTAGCCCTTTTGTTACCTAGCAGCTCTGTGTTCTTGGGGAACCAGGGCGCAGTACCCAGCCTGTCTGACTCATGAAAGCCTTCCCTGTCACCCAGCCTCTGCTTGAACCAAAACCAATCAGAAGAAAGACTTACAAAAAGCAATGAAAAGGCAGTGAGAGACATGCCTAAACCCTTGGGATAAGAGCGTCAAGATTAAGGAAACCCCCCTAGCTTCATTTGCATCAAAGATGAGACAAGGAGGCATCTCCATTAGTATACAGAATGGAGAACAGAGATTCCAAGGCAGGAACCGCACAGAACTCTGGGACCAGAAAAGCAGGGAAGCACTGCATGATGGGGGATCTCTGCTCCAGATGTTAGTGAACCTATGCCCACACACACCCAGCTCAGTAGTTATCAGACCAATGCTAGTAATGAATCCTTTATTGGTATCCAAAATAGTGAAGCTGCCTAATTGCATTGTGAGCTCCCTCCACGGAACACAGCCCATAGCCAGGAACGATCAGCTTCCATTATCTAGCCTGAACAAAACAACTTTGGTATTCTTCCTTGAGCCATCAGTGTATACATAAACAAATCTAGTGTTCTCCATTGAACCATTTATGTGTATCTACAAAACCCCCTACCCATGCTCAAGTAAGTGCTCCGATGCCTGGATACAAAATCTGCTTCAGTTCCATTGGGACTTCATCTTCTTCTGACTGATCTTGCTGGGGGCTCTGCTGTCTCCAGCACTCCGGACCCTCAGCTACCCCCACCACCTGGGACCTCTGATCGATTCAAGTTTCACAGAGTGGTGAGAATCCAGCTCTCTCTGTCTCTAGGTATTGCCTTCTGACCCTGACTTGTGTGATCAGTTAGTTTTCTAAAGCTGACTTTTATAATCAAGTTTAAGTTAGATTTAATATTATACCTGTTTTGTTTGTTTGGCTCCCCTATGGTTATTACCTGGCAATAAATACCTTTCATGGTTAAGCTAGTTAGCTGGTTGCTTCTCTCTCTCTCTCTCCCCCCCCCCCCTTGTGGGTGTTTTTGGCTTCCTCATTCGCTCTGCAGCAACGCTCCTTGTACCTAAGCTAAACGATCCCTGCAGCGTCCAAAAATCCTGTGGGATTTGCTCATCATGTGGGTTACTATCAGAACAATTGTAACGTGAAAGTGGGGACAGAGATGTGCTGAACCTGGGACATATGAGGGTGGCAGCTTGGAAGTGCTGCTCGACCCAGTCCGCTGAGTCCAGGAACATATAAGGAGTCAGCTTGTGAGTGTTGATTAAGCCGGTCCTCTCATGTGCGTGTTCATCTAATTCTAGGGCTGGAAGAACCCAGCCCTGGGGAACCTAGGTCCTGCAGGATAACTCCATTGGAGGAACTTGCAGCAGGGAGAAGTAGAGCTCCATATGAGAACACAAGTGATACCAGCTATACACTGATAGAAGTACAGAACTCCCCCACCCCCAGAAAAGTAAAGGTAATAAATGAGCATACCCCAAAGTAACAGGCAAAGCTGGTAACACTGTCCTAGTCCAGCCCCCTCCCAGCCCTAATAAGGCAGGGCAGTGGGGTAACTGTGGGCCCAGAGAGGGGCGGGCTCTTGTTGAAGATGAGGCCACGCAGGGCCAGGATCAGAGCCGAATTCCTGGCTCGCAGTCCCATGCTCAGACCAAGCTGTGTCCCAACACACCTCAGTGACTCCTGGCCCTAAGCAAAGGCCAGAAGCGGTGGAGCTGCCACCCAGGTGTTAAAGAAGGAGAAAGGTCGCATGGCACAGTGCTCACACCAGGCCTGTTCAGCAGTGCCCAGAGCTGTGTGGAACTGGGCTAAGTGAGCTCTGCTCTAGGAGCAGCTTTACCATCGCTCCGCACTTTTGGCATGACTGACGACACGAGGTTCAGGACACTGGGCCCACCGTGCCACCCAGCTGGGTTCTGCACAGTGGCTCTACTGCCATCCGCCTCCTTACCCAAGCTGGGGCCTGCTTCCACGCCAGCGCGGCTGGGGAGAGGTTCTGCATTCTGCTCCAACCAGGGCCGGCATTAGGCTGATTCCCCCGAATCGGGCCCCACACCTAAGAGGGCTCTGCGCCCTGTGCCTAAGAGGGCCTCGTGCCCAGTGGCCTTTTTAATTTTTACTCACCCGGTGGCACACCAGATCTTCGGTGGCACTTCGGCGGCGGGTCCTTCACCCGCCGCCAAAGTGCAGCGAAGACTCAGAGCGAATGAAGGACCCACCGCCGAAGTGCCGCCGAAGACTCGTGGGGCTTGTACTCACTGGGAAGCGCTCCAAATCGGGCCCGCACTTGCTAAAGCCGGCCCTGGCTCCCAACAGCACCAAGTGAGAGTTCCCAGCACTCCCAGCAGGCGAGCCCTGGCAAGCTGCTGGGCAAGTGTGAGTAAGCAGGATCTGAATGAAGGCTTTCCTGACAGCTAGGTGGGAGGGCGGAAGAGACCCTGGGTGTGTTTATGTAAATACAGTTTGTTCCTGCTTTGCTTAGATTTGGTAGATATCAGCTGATGGGGCGGTGTTTTGCTCATTGTAATCAACTTGGCTGATGTTGGGTCACAAATTATGTTAGTACTGAATGTGGAGGTAGTGAAATATGGTTACCAATGTTTGTAATTATTGTGGGAATACAGAAAAGAAGGACTGTGCTTAACCTGTCCCAAAGGAGGGAGTCACTTTCAGCTTAAAGAATCTTGGTAAAACAATGGCTTAAATGTTTGAGTACTGTAAAAGTTAAGCAGGCACTAGATCTCCCCAGTCAGAAGGCTGTACACTCTCAACCAGGGTCTTCTGTAAGAGTGGTTTAATCTGGTTTTCCTCACTTTTGAAAGAATAGAGCTAAATAGGTTTCACTAAGAGCTGCTTTTGTTATGTTAAATGGCTCACTGAGAGCTGAAACTGAGTTGTGGTGAGACTGTGGCCTTGGCTATACTGGCGCTGTACAGTGCTGCAACTTGCTGCGCTCAGGGGTGTGAAAACGCCCCTCCCCTGAGCGCAGCGAGTGCAGCGCTGTAAAGTGCCAGTGTAATCAGAGCCTGCAGCGTTGCACGCTCGCTCGCAGCGCTGCAAGCTACTCTCCTCAGAGAGGTGGAGTACATACAGCACTGCGAGAGAGCTCTCGCAGCGCTGGTGGCGTGACTACACTTGCGATTCACAGCGCTGCCGCGGCAGCGCTGTGAATTCCCAAGTGTAGCCAAGGCCTGTGTTTCTGCCCAGACCTAAAATCACTTGTGGCAAGACTGTATTTCTGCACAGAGCTAAAAATCACTAAGAGACCTGCCCAGCAGGAGTGGCAAGCAGGTGGCAGTGGAGAGGTGTGATGAGTGAGTAAGATGCCTCTCTCTGCAGATGCACATCTGAACTCTGGGTCTGCACTGACTAAGGGCAGCAACTGAGGGTGGGGTTCAAAGAAGGGTCAGGCATGTGAAGGGGACTTTTGGGTTGCTGGACTTAAGACCCTGAGGGGAAAAGGAGCATTTCCAGCAGATCAAGGGAAGTGATTATTCCCCTCTATTCGGCATTGGTGAGGCCACATCTGGAGTATTGGATCCAGTTTTGGGCCCCCCACCACAGAAAGGAAGTGGAAAAATTGGAGGGAGTCCAGCGGAAGGCAACAAAAATGATCAGGGGGCTGGGGCACATGACTTAGGAGGAGAGGCTAAGGGAACTGGGCTTGTTTAGTCTGCAGAAGAGAAGAGTGAGGGGGGGGATGTGATAGCAGCCTTCAACTACCTGAAAGGGGGTTCCAAAGAGGATGGATCTAGACTCTTCTCAGTGGTGGCAGATGACAGAACAAGGAGCAATGGTTCAAGTTGCAGCAGGGGAGGTCTAGGTTGGATATTAGGAAACACTATTTCACTAGGAGGGTAGTGAAGTACTGGAATGGGTTACCTAGGGAGGTGGGAGAATCTCCATCCTTAGAGGTTTTTACGGCCTGGCTTTTCAAAGCCCTGGTGGGATGATTTAGTTGGTGCTGGTCCTACTTTGAGTAGGGGATTGGACTAAATGACCTCCTGCGGTCTCTTCCAACCCTAATCTTCTATGATTCTATGAAAAGGACACTGCCCAACCTACTTGGGGTGGGTCTTTTACTCATAGTTTATGTTTATGAACTCTGTTTGTGTTTTTTTCCCAAATTAATGCCAAGTTACTTCCCTCCTTTTATAAAAAGTTTCTTTTCTACACTCAGACTCTGTGCTTGTGAGTGGGGAGGAAGTATTGCCTCTCAGAGATGCCCAGGTATGATATGTAAATTTCCCAGGTTACTGGGTGGGGGCTCAAACCAGTTCTGTGTTGGATCGACAGAAAGGAACCCCTAGATATTGAACCCAGCCTTGGCTGCTGCTGGCTCCACCTGGCAGAAGGGTTACACGTGCACAGGTGCTGCCCCGTAATGCCTCTGGGATGGCAGGGGGTGTGAATGGACAGGCCTTGGCCCAGCTTGACTCAGAGCCCAGACCAAGTCCCTGGTGCTGACAAAGTGAGCAAACAGCTCAGCCCTTGGGCCCAGGCGCATGCAGTGCATGTGCCTTGAGAGGCCATGAACAAGGAGCCCTCCAGCATCACGCATCCATGTCTCAGAGCCAAGCACATACGACTCCCTGGCTCTGGCATGTTCCTCCCGGTGCCTGCTCCCAGGATATTCCTCATTCATAGCACTGGGGTGGGCACATATACAGCCTCCCCTAAGAATGTCTCCCTGGTCAGGTGAGAGGCACTCGGGCCCCCTCCTGGGCTGTTCCCAGGATCAGGCTACGTACGCACTGGGAGCTGCACAGCTCCTGGCTACTAGCTGCAGCATTCCAGTGTACCTGGGGGCAATAGAGTCCTGGGTGCCCAGGAGAGCAGCCCGGCTCAGCTCCTTGGCACCCTGCTGGGGTGCTGCATGTCACTGGTGCGCAGGGCCCTATTTCAGCCTTAGCTCCCCTCTCCCTGAGCACGAGCCCAGACCCTGTCCTGCACCCAGGGCAACACAAACACCCCCAGCTCAGGCCAATCCACCCTGCTGTCCTGGGAAGGCTCCCTGGGTGTCTGGCTAAGGGGACCCCCTCCCAAAGCTGGGGGGCATGGGGCTGTTCAAGGGGGAAATACACCATTCCCCTGCCCTACCTCCCCTCGGACTCACAGGGCAGAACCAGTTTCCCTCATCCCCCTCCTCTCCTCTTGGCAAAGTCCAGCCTAGTCACAGCCCGAAGGGGGAGGGACAGGGGGCACTGCAGTAGGGAATACAGGGGCAGAAAGAGAATGGAAACTGCTATGCACCCGGGCTCAAGGGGGTGCTCCTGCTCCTGTTAAACAAACTGGGACTGGGATACCCCACTCCCACCCCTAGCCCTTCCCCTTCCCCCATTAACCTCATCCCTATCCCTACCCCAGCCCTTCCCCCTCCTCATCAACCTCATCCCCTAATCCCAGCCCATCCCCCAACCCAAGCTCTTCTCCCTCCTCATCAAATTCATCCCCATCCCTCACTCTTTCCTCTCCCCCATCAACCTCATCCCCTAAATCCACCCCATCCCCTAACCAGGGATTAATTTATAATGAAAGAGGTGCTGGAGCTCAGGCCCCGCACAAATTAAGCACTGGCTGTGAGGCCAGGGAGTGGCGGCTGCTGACTGAGCGCCCAGCTCAGGATAGAATTAAGGGTGGCATGGTATGGAGGTGTCAGAGCTATTAACTGCCAAGTCTAGAGGTGCTGGGGCTCAGCCCCCGCACATATTAAGCACTGCCCCTAACCCTGCCCCTCTCCCCTTCTCCTAACCCTGCCTACGCTCCCAGCCCCACCCCTCTCCCTGTCCTGACAGCCCATTCTCTGACTGGGCCCTGGTAGCAGACTGCCCGCTATGCAGTCCCATGCAGACTTACCTTCTCGCTGTGGAAGTACATGAGGTTTTTCCCATCGAATCTGACGAAGCGCCTCTGGAAAACGTAATTCCTGGTGGGAGGGCAGAGGAGGGGAGGCTGCTGGGGTCAGACCCTGGCAGAACCCTGGCCCCAGACACCCTTAGACCAGCTAGGGCACCCCTGCAGGAGGTGAGAGCTGGGCTCCATGGGTCAGACTTCCCCTCCCAGCAGTCCTGCTGCACCATCCCAGCGACCCGACTGGCCCAGAAGGTCTAGGCAAGCATGACATACATGGCAAGGCTCCCAGCAGTTGCAGGCCTAGTTGCAGCTGGCAGCCTCACCAAGCATGGCAGCACCCAGTGTATTCACATGCCAAGATGCACCAGTGCCCGCCATGCAGCAAACCAGCCTCCTGTGGACAGACAGTGACTCCAGGAGTGGAGCCTGGGCAAAGCCAGTGTGGGTCCCAAACCCATCTCCAACCAGAGCTGCACATGGCCTTACCCAGGCACAGGGTGGGGACCTGCTCATCGCTCACCAACGCCCCCCGACGGGCACTCACAAACCCTCCCTGGGGCTGGGCACTTACCCCTGCGGGGAGAGTTTGTCCAGCCAGCCGCTGAGCATGGTGGGTGGACGCTCAGACAGCAAGGTGTAGCTGGCGTATGGGGAGATGGTCAAGTCATCCAGGACCTCGTCTGAGTAGAGGTGAGATGGAAGGCTGAACTGGGAGCCCTCAGCCTGGGGAGCTTCCACCATGGCATAGTCCTTCATGTCGTTCTGGAGGATCCAGTCAAGCCGCTGGGCCCGGCTCTCATGCTCCTCGGCTGTTCCCTCGCTGCTGGTCCTGTGAGTGGGACACAGCCTGCCTACTGCTGCTTTCTGGACGAGGGGAAGCTGGGGTCCAGCAGCCCCCAGGCAGCACAGACACGGCCTCAGCCCTAGCCCTGCCCTGCTCCTCCTCACAGAGCCAGCGCTCAGCCCTAGCCCACGCTCCACAGGGCACCGGACAAGATGTTTAGGTTGCACCTATGGGGTCCGGGAGTAGAGATGTGGTGCTGCGTGTCAGTCCCACACGGAGTGCCTCACAGCCCCCAGATGGCTCCCACAAACCTTAAATGACAAGGAGCCGTGTGGGACCCCGGCATGGGCGCAGAGCAGCCCTTAAACATATGCTCTGGGATTGCTCACAGAAAGCAGCATCCTTGGGCTGCCAGTGGGGTCTAACCCCCCTTCTTCCCCTCAAACTTTGGCACCGACCCCCACCAGCTCCTCAAACCCCAGCACCACCATCCCCTCCGCCCCATAAACCCCAGGCACCAACCGCTCCCCTCCCACCCCACAAACCCCGGCACTGACCCTCCCTCCACTCCTCAAACTCCAGCATCAACCCCCCCCTTCTGTCCCTCAAACCCTGGCATCGCCCCCCTCCTGCCCCACAAACCCCAACTGTGTGGGAGAGGGGACTGTAGCATGCCACACAGGGTAACAACTAGGGCCAGGAGATGTTGCTGCTGTTTCCTACTTTGATCTTGTCTCTGTTTGTTTCCCCATCTGTTTTCCTTTCTCTAGCTTTGGCACTTGCCCTTCCTCCGTGGGGCACCCCTCCTGTCTTGGTCTGTTATTTTTAATCCTCTTACTTCAGCTCCCTCTATTTCTTCTAGAAGGCCTGTAAACCATCTGTAATGGAATGCCAAACTACACCCAACGCATATGTGGTACAGAAGAACATGACATGGTGTCAGGAGTAAACTAAGAACAGAAACAGAAGGAAAACAGCAACAAAGGTTGCAGACAAAAGGAGCATCAACAAAGGTTGCAGGGTATCATCAACATGCCCCAGAGAGCTTCAGCTTTAATAAACCTTCAGATTGGACAGACCAGAAACAATATTTTGCAAGATTTCACATTGCTCCCAAACGGCACAAAGAAACTGGATATATACAGGTATCTTCTTTAAGTTATGCTATGGGAAGGCAAGCAGAATGAATCTTTCAGTCCTCTGACTTTACTGAAGACAGTCACAAAGAAGACTATGAAAGGGTTCTGGCTACGTTTGATGCATACTTTAGATTGCAGAGAACTACAACTTATGAAAGAGCATGTATTCACCAGAGAATTCAAGAACCAGGGGGAAATGTTGAATGTTTTATAAGAACTCCGAATAAATTGGTTGAAAACTGTGATTTGGGGAATGCAAAACATGAAAATATGAGGGAGAGGCTGGTCTTGGGTTAACAGATATAAACCTTTCACAGCAGCTACAAGTGAAGAGAGATTTAACCCTAGCCACCGCTATACAGATAGCAAAACAGTCTGAAATGATGAAAAAGCAAAACCTAGAGAAACTTGAAAACTTGAAAAACCTGTGTAAAGCTGAACCAGTGAAGGATTAACAATCAACAAGTTAGGGGACCAATAAGCAATCCTTAAGGGCATATCAAAAAGGTATTGCAATGGTAAACAGGGCATTCCTTGTAAATAGTTAGCAAAGCCACCTTAAGTAGACTAGACTCTTTAATGTGTTTGCCTGTATTGTCAGTGAATCAAAGGGTAGATGCTATGTGTATTTGCCTCTGTTTAGCTGTGTTTGTGTGGAAGGGATAGCTCAGTGGTTTAAGCATTAGCCTTTTAAACCCAAGGCTGTGAGCTCAATCCTTGTGGGGGGGGATCCATTTAGGGATGTGGGGCAAAAATCTGCCTGGGGATTGGTCCTGCTTTAAGCAGGGTGTTGGACTAGATGATCTCCTGAGGTCCCTTCCAAGCATGATATCTTGTTAGAAGTTTAACCATGTAACCAGATTAGCTTGTAGATACTAATTCCTTTTCATGTCTTAATTGCCTTATATTATGCACGAGGCTGGTTCAGTTAATCATAAGATCAAAGATGTAAGATACTGTAGGAAACTAATAATATTATTTACATTGTCTTCAACTCACTATGCTATAATGAAATATTAGCTAATTGCCTGATGTGAATGAATGCAACTAGTTTATCTGTGTCTGCAGAGGAAATAGAAGATTAGCTTCAAAGCAACATTCCACACACAAATCTGCACTGCCTGTTCCTCAGGGGCAGGTCCAGGCCTTATCCTGTCAGCTCTAGTCTACTTAAACTTTGAATAGGAAAAATATAAGTCATAAGATGGAGATCTTCCAAATAATGATTTGGAATAACCTGGAAAATACTTGGAAAGACTTGACCAGACTCTACACCTGGACTGCCTATTGGACTATACCCCTTAAACTGATTCCAGAAAGACTTTTACAAATCAGCAGCCTCACCTCACCATCTCTGCTGTGAAATTGGCCTATGGACTTTACACATATCTGTATGTATGTTGAGCTTTTAACCATTGTAACTCTCCTCTTTCTTTCCCCTTCTATTATTAAACCTGTAGTTTTTAGTTACTAAAGGATTGGCATCAGCGGGATTATTGGGTAAGATCTGAGACTCAAACTGACCTGGGGATAACGTCCAGTCCTTTGGGATTGGTGAACCTCACATATGGTGTACCAGGTTTTCAATAACCCCTCTCTATATTAGACTTTGCTGTCTAGTTGGAAGTCAAGGGCTGGAATGCTTAAAGGGGACTGTATCTGGCTTCTTGTTGATCAATGTGGTGTTACAGACGCTGTTTTGTTACTGGCTTGGTGAATCTAATTATAGAATAAACCCTATTACTTGCAATCTGCCCTGAGTGTAGCATTCTCATTGTGGCCCATCCAGGCACCCAGTCACAACCTGCAACTAGCTTAGAAACTATAAATAGACATTTGGCTGTTAAAAGTAATTCTCCTAAAACCCCAGAGGCAAGAAGAGAGAATTCTAGGGCTAAAAGGGACAAATTCCAGCCTACATACACAAGGTGTGGAAAAAGTCATCTCCCAAGAGATGATGCATGTCCAGCCAGAGGTGTGCAGTATAATAAATGCATGAAATATGGACATTTTGCAGCTGTTTCCTGCACCAAAACAGTCAGGGCGTTGACTGATATTACAGGCAAAGAGCCATTGTTTCTGGGATCTATCAGTGTGATTACAGAGAGCCTGCATGGAGAGTGAAATTGAATACTCACAGCAAGACAATTGGACATTAAAATTGACTCAGGAGCTGGCATCAGTGTTATCGCAGACGGGACCTACAGTCACCTTCAACCCCTCCCAGAGCAAAAGTCACCTGACAACTCTGACTAGCCCTGGAGGGATTCTGAACTGCATGGACCAGTTCACCACAGAAACCATTTACAAAGACAAAAGCTTTGCATTCAGAGTACGTGATCAAAGACCAACAGCCTTCTCAGCCACAGCACGGCAGCCATGTTGTGCCTAGTGAGAAAGGAAGAACTCAACAGAGTACTTGATTTTGTACTTTTGAAAGGAGACCCAGTACAAATCAACTTAAGAGAAAATGCTGAACCATACAGCATACAAACACCTCTACCAGAGACTCCTTGGAAGAGACTAGCTGTAGATTTATGCGAATTCAGAGGACATCATTTCCTGGTTATCATGGACTATTTTTCCAGGCATATAGAAATAATGTACTTGAAAGACATAACATGTTGAAGTGTTATCGAGAAACTGAGGTGCGCTTTTGCTCACTTACATATTCCACAACAACTAGTGATGGAAAAGGGACCACAATTCACTGCCAAATGAAATATAATATTAATCATATTACAAGCAGTCCACATTCCCCAAACAGAATGGAAGGCTGAGAGAGCTGCAGAGACAGCCAAAAAAATCCTACAGCAGGAAGAACCATTCCTCGCTCCTCTAAGTAACAGATCAATGCCAGTAGCAGCTACTTGTTGTAGGAAGAGCAGTGATCTGTATGCTATGTATAATATCTGTATGCTATGTATGCTCTTCTGATCTTGCAGCTGTTCAAGCAGCCCATTCATTCCACAAGCATCCCAGGAGGGAGGAGGAGGGGGAAAGCCACTTCACAGGTATTCAAAGAGGGAGAGGAGACAAAAGGGAGGGGAAAGTGTAACAGACCTTTTGACTCCTCTCCCTCTTTGAATACCTGTGAAGTGGCTTTCCCCCTCCTCCTCCCTCCTGGGATGCTTGTGGAATGAATGGGCTGCTTGAACAGCTGCAAGATCAGAAGAGCTCCCAGGTAGACAAGGTGTCTGGAACTTTAATTAGGCAGCAATCACACACCCAATGCATGGGCACTGCATGGACACTGTCTGAGGTGGAATGTGACCAACCAGACAGGGCCAAGTCATCTCTAGTCGCAGGCCATGAGGAGCAGGTCCTTAAAAGGGGAAGGGGCCATGTGCTTAGCAGTGCACTCACAAGATTGTACCTCCCGCGAAGGCCCTTTGCCCGGACCGCCTGGCCAGTGGTTCGCCGCTTTGCATTTCATCATGCCTCGGGAAGACTTACCTTCATCGCACCATTTATCGCTGCACTGTGGAACATTTACTTTGAAGGATCCTGACATCTCCAGTGCCGGGCCTGTCCTGGGAGCATGAGTATGCGAGTGTGAGTGTGACCCCCCCCCTTCTTTTGAGCTTAGCTATCAGTATAATAAATGTGCTGCTTTCTGCCAAACTCTAGTGGGTCATTAGTCCTCCCTAACCTTACTAGCTGGCCCAATTTCGGGTAACATTACTGGATATAGTCTAGCACAACTCCTGATGGGAAGACAAGTCAGATTCTTTTCCAAAGTTGGAACAGTAGTTCTATCTCTGAATGGCCAGATCTGAAGAGAATAGCCAAATCAGATAAAGAGGCTAAAAGAGCTTAGGAGCACTATTACAACAGATGTTGTTCACTTAGCAAACTGCCAAGTCTAGAACCTGGTGACCATGCTCATGTCAAACTGGATGGAGA